CATTCAATTTTCAACAAAATCTCAGGAACAAAATATTTTTGGATGTGGTTGGAAGCGAGATATAAATTTTTCTATCTGATAATAAGAAAAAAATATAAAACTGTAAGTAGAAGGACCTTCCCGTTACAATTAAGACCTCATTCTTGGAGAGGCTTCCTTAGAGGTATCTAGGAACCTATTTTTCAGAGTACCAAATTAAAAAAAAAATTTTTTTTTTTTTTAATCACCCTAATTGACAGGATACAACATAGTACGGATAATGCACTTAAAGTATGCCAAGTAATGACCAAAAATTGCCCAAATCCAAGCACAATTATTCAATCTTCTCGTTATCGAATTTGTGGATTTCCGTATCTAGAGTTGGCTTTTGACCGGAAATAAAATTGCTTAAATTCCGTTCCTCCGTTTGACGTTTTACATCTTAAAGTATTTCTCTGGCTTTCATTCTAGCAATTTGCAAGAGTATAAAATGTTCTATTGCTTACCAACTTACCCCTTACTCACTGGTATTTTGTTTCAGATCGTGTGACTACTGAATCGTAAAAGTCAAATTACAATGCATTATACATAGCAAACGGTTTTATGCTTCTGTAATATCTTTACAAACAACATTCAACTTTAAATTTCTTAGAGGGATGACATGAAGTTATATATCGACGACCATGTTGGGCTGTCTGTACTTGCACCCGTCACACGTGCCACTAAAAAACATTTTCTCAATCTGATTCAGCAACCAGATAATATATTGATTTCTTTGCTTAGAGCGCTTGAGTGCTACAATAATTGAAAGGTGACACGATCGTGCGCGTTCTGTTCGGCTAATGCCACGCCGTCTATGGTGTGCTACCAACGTACACTAGTGGGACGCACACCACTTGGCAAGTTTCAAGCGTGTTGAAAATGCAACTCTTTTACCTACAAAATCGACCGGCAAAGCGGTGGTTCTGTTCGTCTGCTTCAATATTTAGTGAAGCATTCACATGCTCACTTTGATTTCGTCCTTCACATCGCCGCAGCAGCGTAGCCACTTAGGCAATTAAATTCTGCGTTGACTTTGCTCGCCTCCGTGTCGCCTGTGGCATTCACCGTGCTTTAGTTTTTAAGTCTGTTTCTTGTCGCCATTTTTTTCGATTACAATAATTTGAAAAGAATGCCACGTAATTCCATTGTTTTGTAAAAATGTCTGCCAAAAATCCAATACCCCTACAAGAACAATACCCCCTTTCAACGGCAGTATCTTCACTTACTTTTCTTCTCCTTAGCTTATATAATATTATCTACTCTTTATCAAAAACAAACCATTTTCTATAAACTATTTCTCATTTTGCTTTAGGTGGATCACTGATGACTAGAGTCCATGCAGCCGCCTCTGTGAATTTGGCTACCATGAGTTACTGTATAGTGGTGTGCACAGAGAAGAACAATGGCATCAAGATAATGGTAAGCGAAAATTAAGTAATAAACTAGCAACAGGGTGCCAGTAAAGAAAAGAAACACACCGAACGACAATAAAAATTCCGAAGGAAAAACAAAAACGTAAAACAACAGCAAGAAATACTAAATATTATGCTTACCCAGCTTGACGTTTCTTTTAATGGACTCAGCGCGATGTTGCCACACTTCTTGCACAGTTTCTTGCTTTGGTACTTTCCATTTCGAACGCTTTGAAGGCTATCAAAAAGCGCCTGCAGCTCTCGTGTATGCGCAGCTGGAAGCGCGTCCATCATTGTATTTATAATTGCTACTGAACATTTATCCCACCCACTCATTTCTTTTGTTTTTGATGTTGTTGCCCTGTTTTCTTATATAACTTTCACTTTTATTTCTTTTGGTTGGTCGTGTTCTTCCTTACAGGTACAGGAGCCCTGCGTGATTGAAAAGTGTAAAAGATGTCAAATAGAGGAGTAGACTAAAGTGAGTATTCTCAGTAATATTAAAATGTGTGGCATGTGTAAGCTTGTGTAAGCTTGTTTGGTTAAAGCGAAAGCATTAATATATATCTAATTTGTATACTATTGCTTAAGATTAAACTCTACTTGTTAAATACTATGATTTTGTACATTGAAAGAACCTCACAGTTCTTCAATTTTATATCCCTAGGACAAAAAAATTGACTATGTCACTAATAATTATCTTCTACTCGTCTTGCAGCTTTGCAGATTCGTCAAAGACAGCGAATGGTCATGCAGCGTAACTTGCGGTGAGGACGTACGTTAGACTTTCCTTGTGAGGGTATGTAAAGTTTAAAATCTATGTGGATAATCCCGCTTCTATTTGAATCTTAGAGCAGAAGATCACGCAAGTCATTCGCCAGTCAAAATGATCGAACGAGTCATTTAAAATTGGACTCAATGGAGAGGCCATCTGAGACGTAGCCGCGGCCAGCATTTGAAAGTGATAATCTTCAAAAAATAATTGCCAAAGAATATTCTTTCGAATGATAATAAACATTGTATGATTAAATTTGAAATGTGTTGTTTTTCCTTTAAAAAAGTAGAGAATCCTGATGTKGATAATTTTTTAGTACAATTCCATGATCTTAGATAAATATCGATTCATTCAATTTATTTGGATGCAAAKGATAAGAAGAAAAATTTGAGCTGATGTCGACAAATCTCGATTTTATATGTACAACCATCCAAGTTATTTTTTAAGCACTAGAAAGGTGGTTTTTGTAAAATAGTTCAAAACCATATGGGGATAAGAAAACTGTCACAGTTTTATAGAATAATCTAGTAAAATGCTTTATAGACCGCCTTAATAAAATCATTAAAAAATCTGCAAATTAGGGCTTAACGGTTTATAGAGCTTAAGTCTCAGTAGCTATTCCGAACCGAAAGTCTTCATAATATAATCGTTTTTTGTTCATTTCTTATATCTCCGCTTCTCTACTTCCAGTTCTCAAACCATTTGTCGTAAGCAGCAAAGAGCTCGAGGAAGCAATCGAAGTTCTCATAATAATGAAGCACAAAATGTTGACACAAACGTCATGAAGAATAAGGTGTGTGAATAAATATTACTCATCTTTTTTTTTTTTTTTACTTATTTCCACATACATACAGTGGGGGTTTTTATATTCCGAGGTGCTTTTTAGTGCCGGTTGTTCAGTTTACTGGGTCCTTACATTTAAGAAACCGATCTTTGTTGAGAATTGTTCGAATTCTTGGTCACGAATGCATTTGCGAATAGTTATTGCGGTCAACAATGTTTATCAACTTCAAGTAATTTGATAGTTTTCGTCTTCGTTTGCTTCAAATTGCGCACGACACTTTCGAGTTAAGATAAATAGGTCCGGATTGCACCGCACTCATAGGTCTMTTGAGCCCACGAGTTCCAAGTTGAATTATTTAAAATTTATTTTTTATATGGAAACACCTTTTAATTTTCGACTAAAAAATATGTATCCAAATACCGTAATATAGCTTGTAAATTACTTCAACAGCCGTTTGCCATTTTTAATTGTTCAAAAATACAAAATGCGCCACAAAATGTAATTCCAACAAATTTTCACTCATTCTAATTGCATATGTTGTTCTCCTTTCTACCTATCCCGCTCTCCGTAAACACTCACCATCTTTGACGTATACCCAACTCCACGTCGTCGCTTAGCAGTCGCAATTAGTGCAATTGATCAGAAAAGATGACTCTGGCGCGCCGAAATCCATAAGCACCAGCAATGGCGGTAGTCGCGTCAATGTTCTACTAACGATGCCATACTTTCAGGCTCTACTGAGCAATTTGCAAGAGAGCGGATCTAAAGTGAAAAGGTCAAAATGGAGGAAAAAAAGAAAGTACCACCAATTCTTTTTCAAACAGTCACGCAAGCAATCAATGTGGTGGTCATCAATGTACTCAGTTCGAGAGTCAGCTGTCAGTCACCTTTGGAACAGTGAAACACGGGCGGCTTTCAGCTATTTGGACCACTGCTTCTACTAGCGCTTAACCAACTGGCTAACCATCAGTTGCCTGACGGCTTTCTCTCCCTCTCTGTATCATAACGACAGTCACATATCTACCGTCAATGTAAAAACCAAAGGTAAACACCAAACAAACCGAATGTCAGCGACATTTTGTGCCTTCTTGTTCTTTAGCTCATTTTCTTCTGTTTACTCTTTTCCTAGTAACCACTTTTAGTAGCTTTACTGTGCTGTTGTAAATATGTATTTRTCCTTTATTTCATGGTTCTTTGTTTGTCTGCTAGTTGGTTCGTTCATCCGTTCATTTTTTTCTTTCTTTCTCCCATCATTTCACACTTGTACATATTGTTTTGCTGATATTTTTGTATTTTTCGTCACTGCATTGTATTATGCATGGAGAGCGCTATCATCTTGCAACATTCATCGTTGTTGTTACTGTTATTGCTTTAGTTAATACATAGTGTTTCATCAGTTGTGTGTCTTCTTTCAATCTCAATTTTGTTTCCGTGCAATTTTTTTGAACTTTGTTGTCTTTCTCTAAGCAGATGTTTGTTTGAATAATTTCTGGCATGCAATATTTACTTTGGTTCTRTTTGCTTCTTTATTTTCACATCAATTTTTTCTACATATTCTTTTTTCCTCTATCGAATCATTCTACCATCACTCATATTTGATTTCTAAATTTTCTTCATCAAACATGTCAAACGTCTTTTCTTGGTTTAGATTATAATTATCATTTGTTTTAAAATCGCGCGAAAGGTTTGATCTGATTCCCATCATTGTGCTGCATTTGAGGATTCTTTCTTCGAAATCACTAACATTAARCTATAACTATTCTCAAATGAATTTTTTATAAAATTTCGAAATAAAGTAGATAATGTCTTAAGTAGCATTTAACAAAGGAGCTGTCTACGGAWCGGACGAGAATTGTTTCCCTTATGTTTCTGTTCTTAAACAGATTTTGTTTCGAAAAGTTTATTATTTTATTGGAGTTGTACAGGGAACACTAAAAAGGATCAAAAAACTTAAACAGAAAACGTGTACTTTTAAGTACTAATTAAATATTCACACACATATGTACAATTCTAAATACCTAAAAGTAAAAAATTATGCAAACTGTTGGCAAACAAAATATATGAAATTAACTCAAAAGCGTCTAAAGTAATGTATACATTAAATGCGCAGGGACTACAAGAGTAAAAAGAAGCGCCACAGTGTATCTGAGAACACTTCGGTGAGCACAAATTTTCACGTGTTGGGTCRGTCCATTGGCCATCAAGATCATGTGATATCACACCGTTAGACTTTTTCCTGTGGGTATAAGGTCTAAAGCCTATGCGAACAATCCCGCTTCGATTCAGATGAAAAAATCACTTATGTCATTTGCCACTTATCAGTCGAAATGCTTGAACGAGTCGTCGAAAATTGGACTCAACGGATGCACYATCTGCGACATAGCTTCGGAAAATATTTGAAGAAGATAATCTTCGAAAAATTAATGACAAAAAATGTTCTTTCAAATGATAAAAKAAACATTCCCCATTAAGTTTKAAGTTTATGRCTTTTTCTCTTTAAAAAAATAGGAAACCACAAAATGGTACAACTTTTATATAATATAACATAAACATATAGTCATAGTAATAGTAATGTATACATGGAAATATTTTCTTATTTATTGAAGCCATTGAAACAATTCACTAAATGGGAAAATMAAATGTGAACTAAACCACATTTCGCACGTACTCGTATCGTTGCTGACATTGTCATTGCTGCAAAGCGGTTTTCCAGCCGCTAACAACGATATCAACTGCTGCAACGCATTTCTATGGGTGGGTGCGTATACATACGTATTTGGGACACTAGGAGGCAATGTGTGCTTAAATTTGTTGTCTACGGTTTTATTGTTCGCACATTATCAAAAACCTACATTATATAGTGCGACAAAAATGGAGAGAAAAGCGAAAATAGATTAACTATTTTAGCGGSGGGAAACAGTGACAATGTGACAATGAATAATTATTTCATTTTCCAAAAATTCTACGCAGAATTACCGAAAATACTACACGAGATATGCAAATTTTAAATATACTTAAATAGTTTATAACAGCTTATATGAATATATGAATATATGAATATAAATATATCACATTTGAGTAGGAATACATAGTGAATATTATTGAATATTATTTTTATTCCCAATTTACATTCGCACCCCTGTTAAACRAACTAAATCAAATGCAATAAATTAAAAGCATTTATTATTACTATTTTGAAAACGCTCTCTATTCATAAAATCACACAAAATGCATGCAGCATATTTTAGGAGTYAAACTGATACAATGAAATCCTATAAAAGCCTACAAACTAACGGAATATATTATTATTTTCAATAATATTGTATTTTACGCTATAAATTTATATGATACCGAAATTTGGTAATCCTGAATATTATTTAAGTATTAATTATGCAAATAAATTGCAACATATGTGATTGGTATTCACAGTTTGCGAATAGTTTTCTGACATTTTGAAATGAAATTTCGATAACATTATATCAGCATACAATTTGCAAATTCTTCTTCTTCTTTTTAATTGGYGAAGACACCGCTTACTCGATTATAGCCGAGTTAACAACAGCAGGATGAAGTCATGTGTAGAAGTTCATGCAAGTGAGGAAAGTTCTCTGATCACCATTCACTTAGGAGTGATCAGAAACGATTTTTTTACATATGACTCACGCAGCTCACGACTTCCGGTCTTTGACCAAGGGTAGCTTCTGGGTAGCCTGAGAACATCCGTTTGAAGGCGAGATAAAGTGATAAGGTGAAACATCCCCTACATAGGGTTGTGCGCAGGGTTTGGGACCCGTCACGTAAAAAAAAACACCCCGAAAGAAAAGGGAATAACCAGCCTCGGATGACAAACCCTCCCTTGATGACGATCAAGGCAAACGAAATAAGGAAAATTTGCCGTTTCGAAAATTTTCCTTTCGAAAATTTTCCTTTCGTGCATTATGATTCCATAAATTTTTACTGAAATTTTCCCATAAAAAAACTATCTTCTAAATACTACTGTGAGCAAAAAATAGTAAAACTTTTTAATTTAAATTTCGCGCGAAAATCCATTCGTCGAAATGATTTTTTCTGGGTTTTGACTGTCAGTGATATTGGTGTCAAATTTCACATAAAAATAATAATTAGTGTTTATTAAAGGTKTGTTCCTCTGAAGTACATAAAGTGCATTCGACGAATTATGCATGAATGAAATTATTCCATAAATAGATTTCATTAAATTGTTTGTGCGGAATAAAATTTCTGGCATCGAGCATCGAGCAATGTTGCAAAAGGACTTTGGTGATGACCCGAAATCACTCAATTTTTTTGTAAGTTTTTCGCCAAATTTCCAACCTATACCGATCCCCAAAACCACATTCGCCCGATTTTACATCGTGTGACTTAGGGTTA